GCCGAGGGAACTATACAAACATGGGACGACTTCAATGGTCTCGTGCAATTATTGCAGAGAAGTTTCACAAATCCTCAAATGAAGAAGTATATCCAGTCATATCCTGAGGAAGAAAGAATGAGAAAGGTGCCATCTCTCGGTGTTGGAATTTTATATGACGAAAACGCAATTTCCCGAGCCACTCCGTGGGTACCAGAAATCTCCCCTATAAACCAGCCAGTCGATGACAATCCCTTGCGGGGATACTCCCCAGCATCCTATAATTCCAAACAAAATATGGCGGTAAGGATCTTAAGGGAATGCTGGCAAATAGAAGTTCCGGAACTTGTTGATGGGATAGGTGAAGTCGAGGTTCAAGTTCAGATACAGGATCTAGACTTTCTAAATAGTGCGTAAAAGCAGACTTTGTTTCTCTCCACAACTCAGCTGATTTAGTGTGATATCTAGGCCAAGGATACATGGAATCTTTGATCAAACGATATTATCTGAACGACCCCGAAAAGATCGAAATATATCGACCTCGTCAAGTTCTTCGCATCACCTCGACTCGAGAAAAGGCTGCCCTCATTATTGCTGAGATCCAGGATGGAATTCGAAGTATCAGTAGAGAGAAATTTCAGTTGAAAGATTTATGCTTTTCTCATTACATCAGAGGGTGGGAGAATAGGACTCTCACTCCAGAAGTATTGGCCAAACTTGGTGAATTGACTAAAACTGATATCAGAAGATTACCACATCAAGAGCCGATTGTTAGTGTTCTTAGATTTCATTCCACGTTATATGCACTAACTATCTACAGCTTCTGATTTCATCAATGGTTACCGATCAAAAGACAGATTTGTCAAAACGGGCTGACGTAGTGAGACGTCTGTTACTAGATCTAGCCCGCTTCGATGGGTCTAATCACAATTCGAGGAAAGTTGGGTTGCGAGACTTTAACGAGTCTTCTCCCACAGTGGACTTGCCTGGAGGTTTTGTTAGATATCCAGGATCGCGCGAGCTTTCTTGGCATGAAAGGCTTCGTACGTGGAGTCGATGGACTACAGCGACCCCTAAGTCCGTAGCCATCGATAGTCCAACTGAAACGACTGAATACACCTTTCCTTTCAACAATGTGGACGTAAAACTAGCTGGAAAACCTCAAAAGAACCCCGACCCTGTAGGAGCCGAATTTTTATGGTCTCATGAGTATTCACCCTCTACCACAATTAAAGCCGGAACTATTTTACACAATATAAGTGGCCATCGGATTGGAAAATATATCGATAACGACATGGAGTATTCAAGGGGGCCAGCCGCGATATCCCCCGACAAGACATTGAATATGATCAACTTGAAGACTGAGATGGATAATGGATCAATCCGAATATTTTCCTCGCAAGCGCCGAATCTGTCAGGACTCTTTCAATCAGATCATATCAAAAATGGACAGTTCAATAGTGCAAACCAGGAACTTGTTATGCAATTCAAACCTAATCCATCGGCGCTGTGTCCAAATGGCGACCCAATTGGGCCTTCCGCTTTCAATGATTTTCCTCCAATAGAGATCTCTTTCATCATCAATCGAGAATCTTTTGAAGTAGAGTTTCGGGAGCTTCATGCTATTGTCTCCACCGAGACAGCGGATTTGATGCTCCCTGAACTCAAAGCAGATCTTCAATTTCAAAGAAGGATTCGCTCAAGAATGTTATTTGATGAATCTAAATCAAATAGTGGGTTGGATGTTCTGAAATCCGCCGCCATTTCTGTGAAGAATTTCATTCAAAACTCTCAACTAGATTTAGCCAGTGAGCGACAATTGGAAACACCACCGAAATTAGTCATTCCCCTCGCTAAACATCTTTGTGCTAATGATGGCTGGAAACGCATGAATGGCCGGCCAAGATTAGGTGTCGATGTTGAGTATTTGTTTGCCAAGCTTGAATACAGAAAGAAGACAACTTACAATTTCGACAATCATGAAATATGCTGCACGAGTATCGAAGCAGGAAAAGCCGGTGGTTCACGTTTGGAATTGAGTCTTACATCTCGATCCATGCCGAATCGAGATGAATTTAACGAGACTATGAAAACAGCGTTGAAGATGGTACAGTTGATGGATATCAAGAATTTCACAAGTGTCTATGGACAGGTGAGAGAAACGTTTCCAGAACGAAAAGAACCAGTCTTGGGCCCTGATGATTTCAAATACATACCCAAGAGGCCGAGTGATTTCTTGGACGTGAAAAGGCTTTACGAAGAAGATGGTGAAAAAAGATCCAGGTTCGACAGTGAACCGGCTAAGGAGTAGGTCGATGAATCGCATATGTCGTCGAATAAAGGCCAGGAATCTCAAGATCTTGAAAGTGGAAGATGGCAACTGTTCATTGGATTTTAAGTTACATGGTTATAAACATTGTAAAATGTTGTAATATATGACAATATGAAATAGAAAGGGATCTGGAGTCAAAAAGGAGAACATAGCGGGCATTGCTGTCGGTCCTCTATACACCCATCAGAGCTCCTTTGTTAGATACTAGATGTTACTTGTAAACACTCTAACAAAATACTATACAATCAACTCAAACACCAGACATCTGACTTCCGACTTCATCAGAAGTTGACAACGTACCTTCGTCTAGCTCTATACCACTGATGTATTGCCTTACATGTGAAACTTTCATCATATTGCGATCAATCACGGGCCATGCGCAGCTCATTATCTATCGAATCAATTAAAAATCAGAAGGCGTGGACAGCGTACAAGTCTCTCCTCGATCGAAAACTACGTTTGAGAAAAATATTCACCCATTACTCCCTATCCTTGAACATGTAGAGTGACTTCTGCCGTGCATCAATCCTCCAACTTGTGTTCCGAAGTAAAAAATAAGAATAAAAATGCGTAGTCCCTGTCATCAAAGACATCTCGCTCACACACACCATCGGGGGACGCTCTCTGACACTGTGGATTCATGAGCATGCGAAAATAGGCATTGTCTTTCAAGCCTTGGTACTTGGTATATGATGGAAAGCCTGGCAAGAAGATCGCTATCCACATCATTGCGACATATGGCATCCACTATATTTTGGTCCGAATGAGGAAATAAAAGTCGGATGGAAGGAACCGGTACTGTGCTTTGAGCGAGTGCAACCCGTAACTGTGCATATCCATTGCGATTAGAAGTTACAACATGACAGGAGATTCGCGCTGGACTTCAGTAACTCTTCCACAACAAACAACATCTTCTCCAAGCGGGATCCACTTCACTCCTCTCAACCGAAATGTCTCCTTTCCTGGATTTTCCCTTTCTGGAAGGACAGTAACTCCCCCCTTCCCTAGCCATACTGGTGCTATAGTTACTATGACTCTATCAATAAATCCTTGACCTTCAGCTAGCATGTCGTTAATAATTCCAGCACCTCCTTCGATCATTAGGCTCTCGATACCTTCTTTCCAGAGCGCTTCTAGAATATCTTGCCAGGAGAATCTTCCTTCTTGGTCCGGTGATAAATATATGAGCTTCCCGCCCGCTGCTCTTAGCAATTCTCTTCCCTCAAATTCTATCTCATCTTCTTGCTTAGCAGTAATTATCCAAGGAGCTTTGCCTCTACCATCTTTCACCAATCCGAAAATCTTACTGTCCTCTCCAAATTCCCATCGGCCTTTAGGGTCAATTATAACCGGTCTTGGTTGTCCCTTCAAATTTTTTCCTCCTCCATAACCTCCAACCCCTTCTATCCTGCAATTCAGATTTGGATTATCTGCAATTGCTGTATTGACACCAATCAATATAGCATCATGTTTCGATCTCAGGTAATGCGTCATTGCTTTTGAAGCCGGGCCAGATAAGGGTGAACCAATGCCTGGACTCATAGTGATCTGAGAGTCCATAGAGGTAGCAAACGTAAGTGTTGTATACGGAATTGACTTTGAGTGAGCAGCTGCAATAGAACTCTTAGATGGTAGGTAATCATCTATTTGAGCGCGATCACTTTCTGGGAAGCGGAGAACGTCCCTGGTAGAAGACATTTTACTTTGGTGACCCGATGATCCGATTATGAAGCGTTTAAATTGTCAATTTCGTTCTGGGTGTGTTACAGATAGTACGTTGGAAAGAGTAATGTCAATACGATCATGTTCTCGGGGTTTGTGTTAAAGTTTGTGCACGTAGACAGACTAGATCGAGCTAATCTTACATTATCATGATCATGTGACCAAAATAGGTTACTGAGCTCAATGTGACTTCCACGACATATCTTTCTTCAACCCCGATTAATCCGAAACTATTTTCTGAGTTTTTCCTTGTTGTTTTTGATGTATCTTAGCTACCTTTTCCGCACTCCAGTGATGATACAGAAAATGAAGTACAGATAGAGTGATGACACAGTTCAATTGACAGTGTCGCTCTCGAGTCTCGGCTGCTCTGTTGGTCTGACGATGTATCAATATTGTGAGATATTATAATACTCTGCTGACGAACATATATTCCAATATCGTGTTCTCTAAACCAATCGCACTGATACTCTCAATACGTTTTCAGTCATCTATCATTTCTTAGTATAATCGTGAAGTCCGGCTATGGCTAGATGCGAATAACATTCTTTTGATGGAAGTACCTATACACAGGGAATTTTGATGCGGTACCTGATGTATGTAGCTCAGCGCAATTTTTTTTAATTATCAGCTGCAATTTAATTTAATAATCTAATTTCGATGTTCTGAAAATACTGTTATTGATCTCATAAATTCCTTACTTCAACAAATGTAACAATATTTCAATATATCAAGCAATTTCAATGTTCAGAAGGAACTGGATATCTTCAGATTTTCGATTGTTAGATTGCAGTCCAGACTTTGAACACTCCGACAGCGCTTGTTTTGTCACTTCATAGTCGCTTCTGATGTATCTCCCTTGTATTTCCGTAATATCGAAACCATTCCCCTGTCTTGCTGGTCTCATTCGCTTTGTGTCCTGCCTAGGCGATTTATATCCAGTGACTAGAAACGTTTTGAGCCCTACTTACTGTTCAAAAACAGCAGTCCAGTCTTCCTTCTTCATCCACTCTTCCAAAGTAGTCATGGGGCATTTCACTCCAGCCTATGAATTCAAATTAGTCACCAAGTTTCTTACTACTCGCGAATTTCATTTTCTTCCCCGGCATAGTGCGTTTAACATACCTTCTCAATATCCTCCTTCATCCACAATGTCTTATCACCTCCATCATATCCCGGGTCGCTAGAATAAGCAAACATCGCATTCAATTCCTCTCCGAAAGCTTTATCCTGTTCTCGTCCCACAAACTCATCTTCTGTGCATTGCCTATATGTCGCAACCTTTCCAGTTGTTTCGCTCCATAAAAGAATATACTCGCTCCAGGAACAGTCACTGCCGCATGCCATGTAGCTCTTACCAGGTGGAAGTTGAGAAACGGCATAAACAAAAGAACCAAGATCACTGTTTATGGCAATATGAGGAACTGCTTTATTCGGGGTTGTTGGGAAACTCATTTGGAAAGTTCCGTCGGGTTGCTATTCAGTATCAGGTTAGCTGGTGGGCTCCGCTCATATCATCATATCCAGTTATAGAGGCATCAGTAATGAAATGGCCATCCTAGGACTTTGTGTGATATATAGACGATCGAACGAAAAAAACAAATGAACAAACCTTTCCCAAATAACTTTTCACAGCCAATTTATAACTACTAGTAAAGTACCCCGTCATAACACAACTCATTTTCCCCGCCAATTCTCCTTCGCCTCCATATTTCTCCTTCACATAATAAGGAAAGACATCAGCCTTTGCATCATGATGATACACTTCTGTAAACTTCCCTTTACTAGATTTTCTAGCATGACTCAACGTACTCGTAATGAATCCATTTGCATCGAGTCCCGAAATGACACTCGAGTGAGCAGCAGCATCAGCAATATTCTTTCCTTGTCGATACTCAACATCATAGGCATATTTCCGGCATGAGATTCCAAGCTCCTGGGCATGTTGACGGCAATCGGAACGGAAGAAAGGTTCCCAGTAGTTTGTGACGCTAAAGATAAGTTGCGCACCCTGAAAAGCAGAGATCAAAGAGTTTACATCATCCAATTCCGCTTCCACGATCTCAACGCCCTGCGCGGAGAGTGATTGAGCTGTGGCGGATGAGGCATTTCGTGTTATACCACGGACTTTGTAGTTGGAGTCCTGAAGGAATCTCTGGGCCACGGAATTCCCTTGATTCCCAGTCACACCGATGATTACGATTAATTTGGTCATATTGATTGGAGTGGGGTTGGGAATGTGGATGGCTTTGTTTGAGTAACGAGATTATTTTGAATAAATTGTTTTTAGGGATGGGACCGAAAAATATAATATGTCAAAGTGAAGTGGGGCTTCACAATCTACTCGTACTGTACTCACCCCACAATCATTCAGTTTTTTTCATTCGATGTTGACGAAGTAAGCAACGTTTTGTTTACGGGCTGCTGAATAATGCAAGAAGAACCTAGGAACCCAGCTTCATATCATCTTCCTCGACTCGTTCATGTTGACATAAACTGAAACTGAATTCATTAATCTAGACACTATCAAATCTTGAGAAATTTCTAGGTCAAATAAAAATGAACAAGCAGATAGGAGAGTATCCGAGAAAATTCCATCGAATATAAGCAAGCAGACAAGACAAAGAAGAAGCTTCCAACGTGTATCTGTGGATGATTTCGATTTCTTAAACCCACTTGATCAAGGACCACATTCGTGATATCTTTTTACCACGACTGCAACTTCAAAGTCTGTAAACCGCAGTCATTTGGAAGCATGGAATCAATTCCCTCCAGTCAAATAACAAACAATCTACCAAAGACTTTGCGACAAGTATGCAGACTTGAAGATAAATGCCCTCCGGAGAATAACATCGAAGTGGCTTGGTTGTACAAACTCATTTTAGATATCATCTCCAACAAGAACAAATCATCATGGAATGTGATGGTCTCAGAAAACTTAGACCAATTTTCTAGAAAATCTATTCATACATGATTTCGTTCATGTACGTTTGATGTGAAACAACTAAATACAAGAACCTCTTTGATGTGCTTTAAATGAAGTATGCCAGCTCACGCATCATGACGATCGAGCGCGCATACACATACATTTGCCCAACCTTACATGATATAAATGCCAAGCTCATGCTAACAGGCTAAAAGCACAGCATGGAAGCAATAGAAAGGTAGATTTAATCTCCAGTAGCCTGGTTGCCGGCATGTACCCGCTGATCGAAATCGCTTCGCTTCGGTAAATACAACCAAACACGCCGAGGATAGGAGAGAGCTCTGTATACAGATCGTGATTTTCACACTGATGGAAACCAGATATGTGAACATTAATAAACTTGCTGAAATTCTTGAGCAAAAATATCGTTCACGAGGTGGACGGTAATTGAAAGTAACCCCTTGAAATACACTAAATAAACCTTGCTAGTTTCATTAAATACTAAAAGTTGAAAATAGTATTTCATGTGACTAATGGGGAATTTTAGTCTCTCTAGCTGGACTGGGAAACGGGCACGTCAAACTCGACAAATCGAAACTAGTTTCTGGTAGTGTCTGTTTTTCCGTCCAGCTGTGGAGAGTTAAATTACCGGAGATTTCAAGTGTGGGGTTATGGGATTGTGGGATTGTGGGATAGGGGGACGGGGGACGGGGATGAGATCGACATTTCTTTCACCGTATATTGTCAAAGTTCAAAGCTTTACCCCATCTTCGATCTTGAAAGTTTTGAAGAGACTACAGCTTCAATTAATCGACTTTGCTACCCGTTTCCAGAAGCTTGATGTTAAAGGTTGGTGAATTTTTCGACGACACTGTGCTGTTGTACCTGTTCGATTCCATCCAGTCACTTAAGATCTTGAGGACATTGGCTCTGGGACATTCTGGTGGACGGAATGGATAGGTTGACAAGAAGAGTGGACGTGATGAATGTCCACGTGAGTTGGAAAATTCAAATGGCATCGAGATTGCTTCACCGATTTCCAGATTCTAAGTGTTCAATAGCTAGGAGATCCCGCGTCAATCTCTGGACTCGCACTCGTATACCAGTTTCAAACAATGGAGTCCCTCAATCCAAAGAGTTTGCTTGGGGCAGCTTTCCTTTTCACTGCATTATGTGGTTCGAGTATCACAAACGCGCAGGATGTTATCACCGATGATACATATTCCTATGGACAATCTCCACCTGTGTATCCATCTCGTGAATTCCCATCTTCACACCTTCCATGAAATCCTATCTCCCTATGGACAAATGACTTATGCATGCCGCAGCCGAAATGCCAAGAAACGGATCATGGGCATCTGCCTATTCCAAAACTGTCGGTCTGGTTTCCCAGATGACCATGGCTGAAAGAGCCAACCTCACGGTTGGGAAATCAGAAGGCTTAAACAGTTGTAGTGGCCTAACAGGCTCTGTACCGCGACTCAATTTCAAAAGTATCTGTATGAACGATGCCGGAAATGGTCTTCGTGATACGGAACTGGTAAATTCCTGGCCCAGTGGTGTCCATATAGGTGCAAATTAGAATAGAAATTTAACTTACCACAGAGGATACAATATGGCAGGGGGAATTTAAGACAAAAGGCATCAACGTTGCTCTTGGTCTTGTTGTCGGTCCCTTTGAAAGAGTTCCAATTGGTGGGAGGAATTGGGAGGGAATGGGCAAGATCGTAGGTTTTCTTTCTTTCTATCACTTGATTCCCCAGACTCATCCTCTTTTTGGCAATGCCTTGAGTCAATCTCAATATCGCTAACAATTAACAGCATATCTTTCGGGAAAGCTCGCCGCTCAAACTGTTTTGGGAACCCAAGATGCTGGTATAATAGCATCAGTGAAACATTTCATTGGGAATGAACAAGAATATAAGCAAAATCCATTGGGCAACGTTTCCGCCATCTCATCTAAAATTGATGGTAAAACAATGCACGAATTATATCTTTGGCCATTTGCCGATACTGTTCACGCAGGAGCTGCTTGTGTCATGTATTCGTACAATCGACTCAACAATTCATATGTCTGCTAAAACAGCAAAGCTCAAAACTGACTCTTAAAAATCGAATTGGGCTTTGAATGATTCGTTGTGAGTGACTGGGGAGCGTTGCACGCTGGCTATGCAGCAGTAGAGGCAGGATTGGATGTTGTCATGCCAAGCTCAGACCTCTGGGGAGTGAGTGGTGAAAATTTGACAGCATCTGTTGCCAATGGGTCTCTTGCGGAGTCAAGATTGACCGACATGGCTACTAGAATTGTGGCCAGTTGGTATCAAATGGGTCAAGATGAAGATTTCCCAGAACTCAGTTTGGCATCTTCATATTTGACACCACATACCAAATTCAATGCCCGAGATCCTACATCAAAGCCAATTCTTTTGAGCGGGGCAATGGAGGGTCATGTTTTGGTTAAGAATATCAACAATGCTCTTCCCCTTTAGAAACTAGAATTGCTTTCTATTTTTGGGTATGATGCGCCCGTATCAAGTCAGAGTAATATTGGAAATACTCGATATCTGTTTAGGATGGAAGCTATCTTGGATCTCAATGTAACTGACACCCCCATCGATACCTCGTTACAAATCGCAAGCAACGGAACTCTCATAGCTGGAGGTAAGACAACTTCGATATTCTCAACAAGACAGCACAAGGCAGGACATATTAACAACATGTATAGGAGGAAGCGGCTCAAACGCCCCGCCACATATCTCTGCTCCTTTTGATGCGCTACAGGAACAAGCTTATAATGATGACACAAGTCTTTTCTGGGATTGTAAGTTCATGTCAATTTATTTTTTAAGTCTTACTGATAGATCATAGTCGTCTCCGTTGATCCAGACGTTAATGCCGGCTCAGATGCTTGCCTTGTCTTCTTGAACGCATATTCTATCGAGAATAGTGATAGACCTGGTCTTTATGGTAAGCTTAACATTCTTTATCATATCATACCTGAGAAAAATAATACTAACAGGTGTAGATGGATTTTCAGATACTTTGGTAAATAATGTTGCGTCAAAATGTAATAATACCACTGTGACCATTCATAATGTTGGAATACGTCTGGTTGACCAATGGATCGAGCATCCAAACGTTACCGCTGTGATTTTTGGTCATCTGCCCGGTCAAGATAATGGACGAGCACTTGTTAAGTTGTTGTACGGTGTTGAATCTTTCTCTGGTAAATTGTCATGTACGACAGCAAAGAACTAGTCAGATTACAGTGTGTATAATCACTCAGAGGGTGTCTATCTCGATTATCGCGATTTTGATGCTAAAAATACAACTCCAAGATTTGAATTTGGGTTCGGATTAACCTACACTACTTTTGAATATGCCGACCTCTCGAGTTCAGTTGTTTCGAATGCAAGCACAGCTTACTTACCGCCAATAACTACCATCATTCAGGGTGGAGCCCAGTCTCTCTGGGACGTTGTCGCAAAGCTTCAAGCAACTGTATCAAACAACGGTACAATGACCGCCATGGAGGTAGCATAATTATATGTCGGTATTCCGAACGGGCCAGCTAGACAATTGAGAGGTTTCGAGAAGGTCAACACACCAGTTGGAGAAAGTGCAGTTGTGGAATTTGAGTTGACGAGAAAGGATTTGAGTGAGTGGAGTGTGGAGGAACAAAATTGGGTTTTGCAACAGGGACGTTATGGATGGGATCTGGGTTGGATCGAGTAGTAGGAGTTTGCCATTGAGTGGAAATTGGATCATTCGAGGTTCGTGAGATTGGAAGAGATGATAAATGAATCGTCTAGGGTCATGAATGGTAATGATAATGATACACTTGTCAGAACCAGCGTTTTGATTCTTCATGACAACAAGAGACTGCTTGTGTTGTGCGCTTTTCATAGTGTGAGACTGACTGAAGGAATGTCTTGCACTTTGTTATCTCACGATGCTCCTTACCCAAATCCCCTGGTGCCATGTATCCCTTGTGAGTAGGAATCAATATAAAGCTTCCTTCACCGAGGAACGTCTGTTTTCGTTTATCCATAAGCTTTGCGTGTATGCTTGGTGTGAAGTGTGGGAATGAATATACAGGACGTCCCGTCATCTACTCGGGGACTTCGGAATCACATCACGATCAATCTCTCGGTAATTTTATAATCATTGAAGTGGCGACAATTGATGCAATCCGTGACATGATTTGTGTAGAATCTAGAAGGTATTCCATTCGCCAGCTAAAGCTTTGCTAGTGTATGGCTTTTTCTCCAAATGAACTGAATTCGTGGTAAACTGTCAAAGTACGTGTTCTACAAGCTCCACGTGTTCTTGACGTGTTACTAGCTTCAACCCTAGATTGGCGTCTGTTGGTGTTGGTGTTGGTGTTGGTGTTGGTGTATCAGATCTGGTCATCTCGTCGGTAAGCTTGCTAACCAGCTCCCAGCCCAGCTCAAGGATAAGCTCTCTCCACTTGGAGTTTTCTGGGTCTCTTGAGGGTGTTGAAGAATACTCGGTACTTACAAATACTTACATAGTGCCTAACAGCCTAACAGCCTAACAATACTAAAATATAGCCGCCAGCCACCATCAAATCAATCCGGCAATCCGGGGCATAAAACTTGAACACTGACTCACTCGAGAGTGATAGGATGAAGACGTTTTGGTTTCATCGATACACACATATCCTCGATTCTAAAATTCCATTCCACAGAGGATACCGGTAGTTATACATTGACCCTGAGAATAGATAGGTATACATTGATCTTGAAGGGAAGGCTGTGTTGCTTGGCGACAGCGATGATTTGTGAGTTGACTCTTGAGTGTTACGACGAGGTGACGAACTCAAACTGTATACTCATTGCCACATGATGACTGTGAGAACAAGAAGCTGGTGGGTAGGTACTCCATAAGTTATTGTTCTTGGTCCCAGTATATGTATGTATCGTACCTAGGGATGTATCAAAGTCGTTTCAGACATAATACCTACTGTTGTCAACGACAATATCCATTCACCCCACGATACTTCAAAAGTACATTCAAAGGACCATTCTCCGTCTCCGTCTCCGTCTCCGTCTCCTTCCCCTTCCCCCTCTCCCTCTCCTTCTTACCTGCCAATTGAAAAAATATATCGAATCTTTAAACCGGATTGGGGTTTCATAAAAACTACGCCGCATCGCTGCATTTTCCCAAATTGCTATCAATTTTTATCAATTGCTATCATATCAGCCTTCTTCACGGTTACCTACCGCCCTTCCCCCGAATAACCGCCCATCAAATCAAAATCATTTTTCTTTCCCCGAAAGAATTTATACAGAAAAATATATCGAAGAATACCAAAGAGACCGAAACAAACTGTGTATCGAAAATATCAGTTGAAACTTCATGCAGAACATCGACCGTCCACAGCCTATGGTGATATAATCCAAGCAACGGCTTTCGTTATCTCAGTACATAACATCTCACTATCGCATTCCGCACAAGACATCGGCATCGATTTACCAGAAGAATAGAGCGTGTCGCAGGTTATCAAAGGCAATTTTCGCAGTCACAGCCATGAAAGCCATGAAGAATATGGGCATGAATCGCATGTTGGGTTCACTGAAGCGATGTAGGTAGATCTTGGAGGAAGTTCCACTACTTATGCACCATAAAGCAAGGGCGTTGATTTGTACTTGACTGACCATGGAAATTCTTTCCTACAGCCAAAGATTCTAATGAAGAAACTGGAGATCCTCAACACGATACACCTGAAGCAAATGCAGCCAGGAATGTTGTATGTTAATCTCGGACATGAACGAAAGTTATGGTATTGATCGTAATACAGCGTTTGTTCTGCGAATCTGGTGGTCCAAATGGCTCGGTATGTACACTCACTTCACTTGGGATATCCATTCACAAAGTATTACATCTAACATCCTACAGGGTGAGGAAGTGGGTTATCTGCCTGCGATAGTTGAAGCCGCAGAATCATCCCCGGGAGCTGCGAAAGAATGCGCCCACCATATTCGAAAGTGCCTCTCCAAAGACAACCACACCAAAGCCTACGTACAATACAATGCGATAATGTTAATTCGGATTTTGGCCGATAACCCTGGAATGACCTTTACGAGGAATATCGATGCGAAATTTGTACAAACGGTCAAGGAGCTTCTGAGAACTGGAAGAGATCCAAGTGTCAAGCAGATATTGATGGAAACTTTGGTTACATTTACGAGAGACAAGGCAGACGATGAAACATTGGCTCCTCTAATTGAGATGTGGAAGAAAGAGCAAGAGAAAATGACAAAATTAGCAGCAAGTTTCCCCAAGCATTATGGTCGACGAATTTTCTCTCCTAATACATCACAGGGTCCCGCAGGTCCGCGAACCCTCGTCGCTCCACCCTTTGATCCTAATGCGCAGAATTACTTTGGACGAAATCACCATACTCATCGCCTCCCCCCGCCACATGAACTCTCGTCCCGTATCGAAGAGGCACGCACTTCTGCAAAACTCCTCTCCCAAGTCGTACAATCTACACCTCCTTCCGAACTCCTTACTAATGAACTTATCCGCGAATTCGCTGATCGTTGTCAATCTGCAAGCAGAAGTGTACAAGCGTACATGGTTTCGGAAAATCCAGCACCAGACAATGATACTATGGAAACCTTAATTGAGACCAATGAACAGTTAAGTAAAGCTATGAATCAACATCAAAGAGCAGTGCTACATGCGCGGAAACTTATGGGGCTTGGGAATGGAGATAGCACCCCTCCGGCTGGAACAAACTCGGGATTTACACCACCACCTGGTCCGCCACCCAACCATGTTTCCAAACCTGCCCCAAGTAATGGCAAGAGATCAATGCCACCAATCCCTCCACCAGGAGACATCGCGCCGATGAATGACGAGGACGATGAACGAAATCCATTCAGTGACCCAGAGCCAAACTCATCAAGGAGGCCACCGTTCCCGTCTGATGCACCACCGAGAACGACCAGCCAATTCAATGATACTCTTGGTGTCGAACCATATCACCCTGGATTCAAAGAAACCAAGAGCTATGTCGGAAGGCAAGATAGTAGTATAGGCAATGTTACAATGCATGCTGCAGTCAACGAGCAGGTATCAGATAATGAGGACGCCGAACCAAGATACACGGTAGTTCAGGGTAAACAGCCTGTCTATCGATACTAGAACAGTCGGAAGAATATATAACAAAAGGGTAGAGAGATTTCAAAGCTTGGGGTGGATATTGAAGAATTGATGCATTTACGATTTGACGGATGTATATTGGAGCAATTTTCTCGGATTGAGAGCGAGGCGGCATTTTGATACCTTGGGGTTCTAAGATTATTAAGTGAAGTTTTTAATGGGTGGTAGTAGCTGACAATTTAAGATCGAGATTATAATCTTTCGATACTTTCTTCTTTCGCATCTTGAATTAAGGGACTGGTCAAGAAATTAGACGAAATCGATCAAAAGATTAGACCAGTCGGACTCCGATGATCTTTCAGTGTATGTCAGCCCATCACACACTGCGAAAATCATCATTTGCAAGCTGATAGATTGGGATTGCATTCAACGCTCAAGGTGAGATGTCAGAAAGTCTCCATACGCCTCTGACGTTAATCCCCGCATGGTTTCGGGCTAAGACGTCCGAAGTGTAAATTGTAGATTGAAAGGGCTGGAAGTCACCGGCAACTCTGGGATTGTATCGTCAATGCTTCATCCCATTTATGAGCATTCCCGGTCCCGAATTCGAGATTATCACTATGCAGGTACATATTCAAGTACTTGCCATGGGAAAGCTATGACAAGATTCTCATATCAAAGATTGGGCGAACTTATTATCAACTGCCTATCATTCTTATAAAAGCGCCTATCAACACGCCCCACTAATATGCAGCTGATGTATGGATCTAGCTTGAGCCGAATAAACACCACCCGAGCTTCGAGCTTCCTTATTAGGAAAACCCCTGAACTTCTCCTCCGCCATCTCGGAAATGCCCAGTCAATTAGATCTTCAAGCAAGTACCTCGTACGAGACTCATTCAAGGTTTTCGTCAATCATTAGATGGGGAACCTACGCGGCTCAGCCATGATTCCTTTCACTATGTTGCGGTGTCAAGTATTCCTGCAAGTTCCTGCATTATCAATAACTCTAGATAATGACAAGCCGATCTCGGTGTCCATGATTTGAAATGATCTGTAATAAGTGTTCAGCGTTTGTTGAAAATCAACGCTTCAATACTACCCTACCCCTCTTGTCAAGAACAGTAAAGGCGATGCCAACTGTTTTTATATATCACTAGGGAAACGCAGGAATAGCTTCTAATTCAACTTTACCATTGACGTATTTCCTCGTTCTTGTAGCTTTCATTCTTTGCTCCATTGCCTTCACCTTTTCGTATCATCTCCGGCTTAAAGTATCAAGATGTTGTTCCCTCGTCGTCTTCCTCACGTTCTCAGTGTCGCCTTGGCAGCCTTACCTTCCATAAAAGCTACATCAATACCACTAAACTCGACCTCGCATGACGATGGAAAGAATGGAGCAGTTGCTAGTGAAAGTTCTATTTGCACAGACATTGGTATCGATATTTTGAAAGTTGGAGGAAATGCAGCTGATGCTGTAAGTTCAATCATCTCAAAATTAATGTTCATATTTTAGTTATTCTAACACGCCTGCTAGATCGTGGCCGTACAACTCTGTGTCGGGGTAGTTGGAATGTATCATTCCGGTATTGGAGGTGGTG